AATCTTAAATAACTGCTTTTTTGGTTAGCATTGGCATTGATATATTACTATTTAGTACTATTAAGTTTAAAAAGTTGCTAAGTGTAAAATAAAAATGTGCTTTGAAGGACACCATAACTTTGGATCGTTAGGAAAAACAAGAAAATGATTTCTAAAATTTCAATAACAAAACCTTTATTTTTAAAACATAATTATTATACCTAGTAATCAGACTTTTTACTCACTTCTCCATTCTAAAATAAAGAAGTAATTATCAATCTTACAATAATTTTAAGGAAAAAAATAACAAAAATATTTTAAAAATCAACAAATAAAAGTTACATTCTTAAATCTTAATTAGTGTAATCAGACTTTTTTGAAGAGATACTTTGAAATATTATTTATCGTCACTGAGTGACTCTACACTGAGATCAGCAATCATTATTTTTTAAATACTACCCTACATTATTAATAAATTCATTCCTCATCACAATCAGTCTTTTCATTGTCATTGGTAGGTAAATTTTTCCAAAACGTTTGCTTATAAGGCAGCATAAATTTGCTAAGTTTTTTCAGTATATTTTCTTTTCTTGAAGTTTTTATGCCTCTTGCATTTGTTCTAGACGTTATTACAGAAACCGGTCCTGTTTTAGATTTTAAATACGTATCTTTTAGAAAAGTTAGTTCGTTTACTTCCCCATCAATCCTCTTTTGAATATTACTTGCACCATGTTTCACATATATGCACGTGGGTTTGAAGTTTGGATTCTTCTTGGAGATGTATAGTCAATAACGTTAATGAAATCGAAGGTTTTCATTTCCTTAACAGTCACTTTTGCGAAATTGGCAGCAGACACTGCTTCAATAAAGTCTTGAAAAGCGTGGAGTTTCTTTTTTTTCATTGATAGTTCCACCTAGCGATGGAAGTGGTCACAACTCATAAAGGTGGGTCCAGATTCAAAATAATTAAGGTTAACTTGCTTGGCACTGATTTCGCTGGAGTTTATAATGTGGACTAGGTAAAAATACAATAGCCAGTTTTTATTTTGAGCCGCGCAATTGTCAAGCCACAAATCAATAAAATTATAATCTCGACTCTGCATAAGAAAAACATTAAAGGCACTAATAATGTCTTCTTGTTTACGTCACTTTATTACATATGAGTCGCTAAAATGTTTAATATTGATTGTGGTTAGTTAGTACGCTATACGTGCCAATCTTAATGAAGATGACAGTTGAGAAAGATATGAACTTAAATTTAAAATATGTGCATGGCTTAAATTGATGGATTAAATACCAGCTTTTAAGTAGTATTACTCAATAATATCATAATGATACAATATGCAACTACAAACATTATTAAGTAGGTATCTAGTTACCTTATAACTAGGCTTGCCAACCATACTTTATAATAACGTATCCTACTTTATTTTTGGTAATTATACTTTATACTTTTACATACAAATAAAGTATGCAAAAATACTTTATTTTCAACCTTTACTGTGATGCGTAAAACATACTCATCATGGGTACTTAACGATTTATAATTGCTGAACGAAATGTTACCTATCTTTCCGATTCACGCCAACAGCGCCAACAGTGATTACGCTCGCGACCATGGACAGCGTTGGCGTTGTCATCAGCGTGCTTACGGTTGATTCGGAACGGATTATTGGCGCTGACAGTGCTGTTGGCGTGAATCGGAAAGGCCTATTAGATGTCAGATGTCAAAACATGCTATGGGCTACTTGATTTATGACATAGAAAATATTGTTTTAAAAATATACAGTCATTTTTCGGTATCTGCTTGTAGACGAGATGATTTAAAAAAGTTTGATGATGATAGATGTCTAGATGTCTATAATATTATGGATAATTTAAGAAACGAATTAGAACAAAGAGAAACTGATAAGTACTTTGGTTATGAATCAAAAATGAGATTACAAAAAATTCAAAAGTCATCACCCGAAACATTCAATACAGGTATCAGTAACTTTTCACTTTTTATTGATATGAGCTTATATTATACGATAAAATGGTTTGATTTTAGCGAAGATAACTGGCTTTCAATACTTCCTAACATGTCTTTGAGAAATGAGGTAAAATTTGAACATTTTGAAATGGTTATTACAAAGGCCAAATCACAAGACAGATTAAATATTAAGTTGGACGATCTGTATTCCGAATCGAAAATTCCGAAATCGAAATCGAAAGACTTAAAGAAATCCAAAGAAAATTCACAAATGATGATAAAGAATTTTCAGTGAAAAGTGCAGTAGAAAAATGGCAATATGTACTTAAAAATGCATCTGATAGCTTACCAAATATAAAAAAAAATATTTCTTACCTACTCTCCATTCCTGCCACTTCAGCTTTCACTGAAAAAGTTTTTTCTATAATGAATCTAAAGTGGCGAGAAGAGAGAAATAGAATAAATTTAATAAAAACCGATTTGTTTATTTATTTAATTTTAAACGTTGATTGTCAAACAAGCTTTGTAACATTTAAAGACAACAAAAAATTGTTAGCATGTGCTAAAAGCACACAAAAGTACGTGTTTAAAGCAATAAAAACATAAAATTTGTAAAATACTTTTTTTTCTTCCTAATACTTTATTTTTTTCCTATCCAAACCACTTTATACGTTTTTTTTGTCAAAAAAGTTGGCAACCCTACTTATAACTAACGTGTTGGCGCCAAAAATCGACGTGCTAAGCATGCGGCTTTCTCCCGTGACGTCTCGGAACGCAATGATCCAAATAAAAAATTCAAACCAAGAAATATACACTTTTGGCGCACTTTTTACCGATCGAATTCTGTACGCACACATCGATTGCTAAACTTACACTTAAATGCTTTTAAGCGTAGTACATTCATTTAGCCGCTGTTTCAATATTATTTCAAATAAAATTCAAAGGTTAATCATACGCTAAAAAGTCGTGACTGCTTTTATGTAAATTTCGTAATTTTAATACATTTTTGAAATTCTATGCTTAAAAGAAATTAAGTGCTTTTAGCTGTTTTTTAGCTTCTACTAATAGTGTTTACCGCTTTTTAGCGTATTATTATGACTTACTCTAGCAAAAATGCTGCTAAGGAATAAAGCAGTTATCTACGGCTAACTGCTTTTTAGCTTAGAAAATGCGTTTAACTACATTTTTCTTAGTTTTACAATATCAAATATTATACTTCAACTAAGAAAATAAATCGTTAAAATCTCTTAATGGCTTTGTAGCGTAACAGTGCATCGTAACTGATTTCTAGCTTATGATAGCAAAGAAAATTTTGCACTTAACCGCCAAAATGCTTAATATACCTCTGGAACCATTAATCGTAAAAATATGATTCCAACATTGGCCGATAGAGAATTTTTTGCTTTGTATAGTGGTGATGAAAGCTCAAAATCGGCAAAATGCACTTAGCCGCCTTCTTCCGTATCAGGGCAGTATTTTTCTAGGAATAAATTAGGCATTATAGAATTAATACAAAATTCTCTATCCTGTGGTCTAAAAAAAGTCAGTTACTCTATGTATTTTTATTTTTAACGTGTTTAATTTCTTGATTTTTAATTATTTAGTGAAAAATAACTGCATAATGTTGATGTGTTTCGCATGAAGAATAATCTGAACCGGAGACCCTTTTTATTGATAACGAGGCATTCCACCTTAGTAACCAGAAGTGATAACGCATCTGTATTATTATGATCCTTAATCGAGGATGAATGTAGGTGTATATGGACCATTTCATCCACTTACCATAAGGTAGGTGGAGGATATGATTGATAATGATTGAGCCCGCTTGTCATGCTCACAAGAAACAAAATAAACACATTTTCACTGGTCAACCAATTCCATCTTGACCTTAGGGGTGACAACATATCTGCATTTTTATTTCTTGATGAAAGCGGACAGAAGCCACTTACTATCAAGTGGACTATATTCGTTTGTCGAAGTTATGTTTTTAATAGTTTTTTTATAGAATAAGGGTAACAAACGAGCACACAGTCCAGCTGATAGTAAGTGGTTGCTGTGGCCCATACACATCTACATTTATCCTCGATTAAGAATCAAAACGCAGATGCGTTGTCACCCCTGGGGACTAAGATGGAATGCCTCGTTTCTAGTAAAAAAGGGTCTCCGGATCCCTACACTCACCATCCGAAACATAGCAGTACTAAGCTGCTATTTTGCGCTGGTATTCTGTGAAAGTGTAGTCCTTCCCTGGTCGTGCCGATTCGTTCGTGCTATAACCATAATATAGTTGCAACGTGACTCTACCACGTATGAAATAGCTGATACCTGTTCATTTCGTTGGGTGCACAATATTACTTTATTGTGGAAAATAATGTAAAATATCAAGATTTTTTTTGTGATGGGGGACTATCATAAAATCCGAGTGTCCGTGTGTTCTTCGTGAGCGTCTACATTCCGTAATAAGTAACTTTACTAAATTTCAAGTCAATCGGGTGTACAGTTTTGGAGATATCGTGATGGGTCAGTGGTATTTTGCTAAAAAAAAAAAAAAATAAAATATATATATATATAAACTGAAAAAATATTCAGGTGGATAGATTATAATAAATGAACATTTCGATTGTTTAATTAGGTATTGTGTTAATTAATAGAATCAGGCGTTACTTTGCGTAAATCCATTATATTAAAGTTGGTAGAATTTACTTCCCCCATATACGCTCAACAAAATAAAATGATGAGTCTTACCTAGTTTGAAGAGCACCTCCCGCCCTCCCTCAATTGCGTGCACTAATCCCGTCACCACTAATCCTAGCACCACTTCTCACCCGAGGATGCCTCGTCTTTCCTAGTGTAATAGTGTTGGGAGTAGTGGTGCTGGGATTAGTGAAGACGCAATTGAGGGAGAGCGGGAGATGCTCTTCAAACTAGATAAGACACGTTATTTTATTTCATTGAGTGGAAGTACGTAAAGTAATTTTTACCAACTTTAATTATTGTGTCTCTTTCGCCGACACGGAAGTTCAAAAAAATTCTTTCAAATTTGTTTCAGAGGTAAAGACTGTCGCAACAATTTGTATCTCCTCCCCACGGGTGAGATAGTGTACTTCGTGGCCGCGGTGGTGGTGATGTTGAACGTGGAGGAGCAGTGCCAGCGGCATTACACGGGCCACACGGACGACGTCAAGTGCCTGGCGATACATCCCAACAAACTGATCGTCGCGAGCGGACAGTGCGCTGGACATGACCGGATAGACGCGAGGGTAGGATTTAATGAAATTTTTATAAACGAAGGTTTTTAATAATAATATCTGAAAAGCTAAGTAAAAAATAGAACTCGACATAGATATTAAAACTCAACGGAAAGCAGAAAACGTTCACATCACCAGATAGTTCCTCGATAGATCATCGCTAGTTCTCTCATTCACTGATATTATAACAAAGCTACTCACACAAAGCCCTAACACTCTAAACATTTCTACTCATTTACTTCACATGCTCCAAAAAGTCACGATCCTCACACCTGTCGCATCACTAAGGTTGCCACCTTTTTTCAACAAATATAGTAATTTTCTCAAAAAATATGCAAAAATATAGTACTTTTAAGAAATTCAGGAGAAAAAAGTACACGTTTATTTTAAATCTATATATTTTTTCATATATATATGTGTTATTGCGCTTTGCTTTGGCCGTTAATGATTACATTCATATTAAAATATATTAAGAAATAATTTTAAATTAAATTAATACATGCTCTATTTATTTTTTCTTTCAATTTTAATAATTAGTTAATATAAAAAAGCGCTATAGTTGAATTGTGGATAAAAATATAGTATGTTTCTGTACCATATTAGTTTTCTATAATATATAGTACAATTGTCTGAAATATAGAAGGATATTATATATTATAGTAAATATTTTCATCTTTAAACAAGGTTCCTCTCAATAGCGTAGCACACAGTCACAAAAAAACTTTAATTAAAAAAAATTAAAAAGTTAAACATTAATTGTTTGAGCTGTTTTAAGTCGGACCAAAGTTAATAGTTAAAAAAATCTGAACGTAGCTCGAGTTAACTATGACTATAACATCAGGTCAAATACCTTAGTTCCCTCGTGACAATGGATGAAAGCAATCAATACGTCGTAATTTTCAACAGAAAAACATCTTAAAACATGTAATTTGTTTCACTTACTTATTTAATGATTTACTGACTTACTCATTAATACTTTACTTCTTGTGGTGGTGTAATCAGACCAATTCTGCGGCAAAGCCGTTACCGTTACCGTTACATAGACCTCCCCTATGATTGCCGCATAGCGAGGGATTTTTGTCATAGTTGCCACGCTTGGCAAGCGTAATGGCAATATATATTGGCTATCGCCTTTTACGACACACACGGAAGACTTTTTTTTATATAATAAGATGACAAACAAGCACACAATCCACCTGATGGTAAGTGGTTGCTGTGGGCCATAGACATCAACATCTATCCTCGATTACGAATCAAAATGCAGATGCGTTATCATCGAACGCATCTGCATTTTGTCAACATCACGAATGCCTAGTTTCCAGTAAAAAGGGTCTCCGGTTCTCTACGTTCACCATACGAAACACAGCAGCATTAAGCTACTATTTGACGCCGGTATTCTGTGAGAGTATGGTCCTTCCCCGGTCGAGCTGACAAACTCGTGCCACAACTATACTACTAATATAACTGCAGCATGGCTCTACCACGGTACGGTATACGGTAGTGGATATTATTGCTCTGCCACTACATGGTGAAGCAAAACATTTACAAAGAAAAGAAAGAAGAAGAAATAAAGAAGTAGAAAAGAACTCTACCACTTATGAAATCTAATTTTTTGTGCTTTTTTGCTTACAGCCGCACGTACGCGTGTGGAACTCAGTATCGCTGGCAACACTGGCGGTGTTGGGCGGCTCTCAGATCGAGCGGGGAGTGGCCGCGCTATCCTTCTCTCGGGCGGACGGCGGGAGCCTGCTGGCGACCGTCGACGACGCACCCGACCACACCATCTCCGTGTGGGACTGGCAGCGTCCGGACAAACACTGCCTCGCCGACACCAAGGTATTAACCACACATACACCGTACTTCGACTACAGTTTATAACCACACATATGTGATGGCGTTGTCTTCGCACCACAAGTGAAACGCACCGAAGCCTAAATCGACACATACTGTACGGTAGTGATATTTTCCAACGTGAACCGAAGAAGTGGAAGAAAACGATACTGGATAAACATATGAAATGCTAGTATCGTCTTCTTCTTCTTCTGCTCTTAAGATTGCACTGCTGGGTTGGGACTCTTCTACTGTAGAAAGGTTTTACCTTAATCCTCACGCTTGACAAGCGGATCGACTAGGGAAGGTGCGTATTTACGCGACCAGGTTTTTGGCATTTGCTTACATAACGCCGACCAAGTGCCGACCCAAAATACTCGCAAGACTTCAAAGTATGTGAATATTCTCACTCTGTCGACACTCGACGCGATTCTGTTCAATCAATGTTCTGTCAAGGTATGTTTATTTTGAAGGATTGGAAGTTTTTTTTGTGAACGCAATTGTGCTCTTTATTTGTATATAGTTACGGATCAATGTTCTATGCAAGTATTTTTCGTCCAACAAGGCTTGAAAGTTTATTTTAGCATATGTGATTGCACTCCTTATATATATGATCTTACGGATCAATTTTCGATGCAGAAAGAAAATACTTGAAAGTATCTCGAGCCCTGGTTTTTAACGCTGGTGGTCGAATTATGCAAGTACGACCCATCACTGGGATTGACTGTCGTAGTGCCAGACGTCTCGCACCACTGACACTACAATAAAGAAATGTTTATACCACCAATATCAGAACCAACAATATCTTCCTGACGACACCTTGGAGAAGTGAGGCAAATGATTCCCTTACGCTATCAACATATGGCCATATATCACGTGTAAAAAATAATTTAACAAACCGTAACGGTCTATAAAGTTAAAAATGTGTAAATTTTTTTGATAAATAATAAAGTACTGGAGCATTGTTTTGTGTATATACATACACTAGAAATTGAAAATTCGTCGAACCAAAAGTTTGTCTTAGTACCAACTAGCGACACCTGGTGAGCATAATATTATGTTTTTATAGGATAAGGTTGAGAAACGAGCACACAGTCCACCTGATGATAAGTGGATGTTGTGGCCCGTAGACATTTACATTTATCCTCGATTAAGATTCAAAACGCAGATGCGTTGTCACTCCTGAGGAATAAGATGGAATGCATCGTTTCCATAAAAAAGGGTCTCCGGATCTCTACACTCACCATACGAAACACGACAGCATTAAGCTGCTATTTTACGCTGGTATTTTGTGAGAGCGTAAGTGGACCTTACCATCTGGTGGGGGTTGTGTGTTCGTTCGTCACCCTTATTCTATACTGAAAGAAATATATTCTAAATGAAGCTTGTGAGTGTGTGTGGATGGTTTAATTGTGATTTCACATTCATCACATTTGTCAATACCGTTCGCGCCATACGCACCGCATTTAAGAATTCGTTGTATGAAATCATATGAAACCTCGCACATCACAGCCGCACCATGCGCTGCATTTAATAAAATGCGATGAGTATCCGAATATTGAAGAGCGCATGCTGATGGCGTGATATAATGCGGCGCGTTCGGCGCGTGCTGAGTCAGTGTTGTCTAATGTTGCCATCTTAGTGGATTTTCCACTAAAACTGGTGGTTTCGACTTTCATCCCGAAATATATTTTTACTTCATTTTCCTTTACTGTGTAGGCAACAATGAGTCGTCACACAAGACTTTTTATAACTTTTAATTAATACGTAATTAATTATACATAATTTAAAAAAATTTCATCGATTATCAATATGAATACGACATAATGATTTAAACAGAATAAAAAAATTATAATTAATTATAATTCAAAAACCCAATTATACCTTATTACTTAATTATCAATAACAAAATACTTACCTCAAACATACAATAATTCTTTCCTGTGGTTCAATTGGCTTTTTACGTCTTGAGTTTTCCATAGAGAGATATGGTTTTAGTATATGTAACAATTCTTGAAATGTCTAATAAGTATTTAAATATATTATAATATTCTCCATACAACTGCCTTTTTGAATTAATATTATGAATCCAGAATCTTCTTTTCTTCGAATTTCATTTTCTTCCTCTGCCAATAAGCAGGCTATCACAACAATTTTTCCATAGCGATCCGAGCGATCAATGTCACTGTACCGTTTTGTACCAGTGGTTGGAAATAACTGTAAAAGTTGTTGGCAATACAAAAGAATTGCGTACGGCGCGTACGTGCAAATATGGCGCGTACGACGCGTACGGTACTTACAAATGTGCGTTCAGCTTTAGTATTTTTTCAGACCTAAATCACAATTACATACGTTAACCTGGGATCGGAACATAAGCTTGCACACGAGCCAGCTCCGTCGCTGGCTATTAATTCGATATAACTGGTCTAAATCTAAAAGATACCTGATCATAATTGCAATAACAACATAATATTCTGCCACTGGAGCACCAGTTTAATATCGAGTCGACATTCGACAGATGGAAACAGATTGAATGAAACTATTTTTACGAATGTTATCGCATTTAATTTTCTATCCGACGTTTCGCGACCCATGACATGGGTGCTGCAAAGTACCCCAAAATAGTTTTATTTAATTAGTTGTGTTTGCGTAAATATAAGAAATCATTATGTAAGTGAAAATAGGCTATTAGCAACGTATTAAAAGTGGACGTTTATTTTTTTCTACAGTGCTCAGTAGACACAGTAGTCGCAGTAGAATTCCATCCACTGGACCGTAACCAGATCGTAACTTGTGGCAAGAACCACATTGCCTTCTGGACCCTGGATCAGACCAACATGCTATATAAGCGCATGGGAGTCTTTGAGAGTCGCGACAAACCCAAATACGTTACTTGTTTGGGATTCAACCCTAATGGTAAGTGCTGCATTAAAATACCAAGTCGTCCTTCGAGCCGGATATTTTATATTTAAGATTCAAATTTTTCGTAAAATACACCATTCTTTTTTAATTTCATATGGAATAAAATAATTTGTTAATACTTATGTTTTCAAATAATTATCATGTTCTAATATTTGTAAAAGAAATTAATTTTCTTGAAATTATTGACATTATGAAATCAGAATAATCAGTTGCTATGAAAGTAGAATCAATTGCATTTCATCTATTAAAATATTGAATCTTTAGGTGATGTTCTATCCGGAGACTCAAACGGAAATATAATTGTGTGGGGCCGTGGTACCAATACCATTCTGAAGATGGTGAGAGGAGTCCACGAGGGATCCATATTTACGCTGTGTTGCCTTAAAGATGGCAGCGTATTGTCTGGAGGAGGCAAAGATGGCAGGGTTGTCATGTTTGATTCCGAAATGAACGCAACAGGAATGGAGAATGTGGTAAGTAGTTAAACCCACAAGTTTCTGTTTTTTTTACAGTATAATGGTGACAAACGAGCACATAGTCTCACCTGATGGTAAGTGGGTGCAGTGGCCCATAGACATCTACATTTACCCTCGATTAACAATCACACAAAAACGCAGATGCGTTGTCACCCCTGAGGACTAAGATGGAATGCCTCTTTGCAGTAAAAAACTTCCCTGGATCTCTACACTTACTAAACGAAACACAGCAGCTATTTTACGCTGGTTTTCTGTGAGAGGGTAGTCCTTCCCCGGTCGAGCTGACCCATACCTGCTACAACCATAATACAGCTGAAGCGTAGCTCTCCCACGTAAAAACTGCAGTCCATGGACAAGTACAACCAGCTTGGACAAACAAGTCTGCAACAGATGCGTTGTCACCTCTGAGGACTTTTTAACTGATGTGTGTCATCATTTCTGTTCCACTATTCTACTTTTCTTACAGATTTTGATTACATTGTATTCTACTTTTCTTACCCGTCTGACAGATGTACCTGTTAAATAACGCAGAATTAACTATGTACCCCAGAAGTATGGCTGGTGAAACAGTTTTGTTGAAAGTATTATATATAGTACTAATACATAATATTAGATGTTTTTTAAGGCCGATTTAGATTTCAACTCGATTTCCATTGCAAAATCTAAAAGTAAATTGGTTAATTATGACGAAAACAGTCACGTATTGAGAATTCTATTATACTTCTAAAAATCAAACTGCGATGAAAATTGAATGTGTTTTGTTAAAATTCGATTATTTCTATGTAAATAATTATATTATCTACGTTTGAAAACCTTTTTTTAACATAGATCGAGGGTCATTATGGTGGAGTGCGTGTTGTTGCCGAGGGCAGGGGCAGTCAAATCTACATCGGAACTACAAAGAATTGCATCTTGCATGGAGATCTGCAGCTTGGCTTCACACCTGCTGTCCTAGGTATTGGTTTCTTTTGTTTACTGTATTTGTTCTCATTACTATACGTTATCTTCAACACTGGCGTATGTTTCTGTACCGCGTGGAGACATTTTAAAAATAAACGCAATACTAAGTATTGTAAAAACTTTAATTCAGAATAGGTCAACTTTACAAGGTGCAACTTTACAAGGCGCAGGTTCGGCCGCCCATGGAATACTGTTCCTATCTCTGGGCTGGGGCCCAGTACCTTCTCCTTCCACTTGACCGCATCCAGCGCAGAGCGGCTCGAATCATCGACGACCGAGTGCTTTCCAATCGGCTTGATTCACTGGCGCTGCGAAGAGATGTTGCATCTCTTTGCATTTTCTTTCGCATATACCATGGAGAGTGCTCTGAGGAATTGTTCGGATTAATCCCAGCCGCCAAATTTCGTGAACGCACTACGCGGCAAACGTCCCGATACCATCCACACCATCTGGATGCTTGGCGGTCCACCACTGTACGTTGCAAAAGGAGTTTTCTTCCGCGTACGACCTCTGTGGAATGGTTTACCACCGGCGATTTTTCCGGACCGATACGACCTGGGGACCTTCGAGAAAAGAGCTTACTCCTTTCTAAAGGGCCGGCAACGCACCTGCAATTCCCCTGGTGTTGCGGTTGATCATGGGCGGCGGTAGTCACTTAACATCAGGTGAGCCGCATGCTCGTCTGTCCCCTCTTCTATAAAAAAAGAATAAAACAGTCCTTAAATATACACGACTTGTTATACTCAAATATGCTTATTTTATATTTTGATTTTGGGTTCACAGATATGCTTAAGTTGCTTTATTTGTATATGGTCCTTCGAGCCTGATAACAAAATAAGCAATTTCTTGTTATATTTTTCAATGTAGACTTCATAAATAATACTTGTAGGTCATGTGGATGAATTATGGGGTCTCGCTACACATCCGACGCTGCCTCAGTTTGTGACGGCGGGTTGGGACAGATTACTACAGCTGTGGGACGGTCTGAGTCACTCCACGGTTTGGAGCAAGGATATTGAGGTAAAACATCTATATTCTTAACATTACACAAATATGTCAATATATTCTTTGCCGATTAGTGAGTGGCGTAAGGAGTACACGCTATCGAAAGATCAACCGTACAGCCTACGCCAATTTTTTGTCCCCTCTTAATCACTCTAATTCACGACGCGAAGATTCCATGGAATTAGAGCACGAGGGAGACGGAGCGTTGACTTCATTAGACGTGATCTCTCCAACTTAACGTTTAGGTTCATTGTGCCTTTCACCATTCGGCGATCTGCTGCCAGTTTTCACCCTCGCGATCACTGAGACATTACTAAACAGTAATCGTAATAATGAAGTCAATCTTATTTTTTGTCGATGCTCGATCAGGTCCATTTTATATAGGGTTGCTTCTTGAATAAAGAGTTAATTATAACGAGTCCTTCTTCCTCCACGAAGTCGACCAGCTGCTGGTCCCTCGGGTTCTTGGCTTGCCTTATCCCGAACCTCCTTACCGGTTCACCTATCAGTTCACCATTCCCTCTTGTTGTCTTCATTGAAGTCTTTCATTAATACCGTATTGTGGGTCTAGAACGAATGCATGGCTCTAAAGATATCCTCATACAGTTCCTCTGCCGTTCCGAGGTTGGTGTGTAAACCTATATGATCTTTTTTTTGCAATAAAATTGCGTTCTCGATTCTAAGCATAGCTTTCGTATAACTACGGTTACCAATCCCCCCGTCAAGCTTAGTGAATATGGCAAATATGCTTCCTAGGTATAAATATATTCTAGTAATAGTTCGCACTCTTGGCAAAGCCTGCTGTGGTCTAAGGAGCCGTCAATATGTCATGACTTGTGTGTGACAGTGGACTTCAGCGCAATGAACATGACATGGCGTGTGTGTGACAGTGTTCTTTAAGGGTTGTTAATGTTGTTACGAGCTTAAGGTTCGTGACGATAAAAACAGTAAGCTTAAGGGTTGTCAACATAACGTAGGGTGTGTGGTATTGCAGGAGCGTGCGCAGTGCTGCGCGTGGTCGAGCGATGGCAGCGTGGTGGCGGTGGGCGCGCTGTCTGGCCGTTGGCTCGTGTTCGAACCGACCTCGCGCGACCTGCTCGCTTCGCACCACGACGGGTGAGACACACGCACACACACACACACACACACACACACACACACACACACACACACACACACACACGCGCGCGCACACATACACGTGCATATACACACAAGCACGTATACGTGTGTACGTTATTAGGGTATTAGGAAAACGTGGAATACCCGAACGCGACGGATATTAGGTCTCAACTGACTATGGTTCCTACGGTGGGAACTTCTACTATGTGCACAATGACTAAAAAACTATGTTAGCATTCTAAGTTCTAGACCACTTTAGTGGTGCTTACTACTAAGCGATATTTCTGGGGTGGTATGCAATAACGAATTACTTAACAAGTTATCTTGACGCAAAAATTAACTAGTAGGACTCCTAGGTGGAATAGAGTCCTATAGGAGGTTTATTTGTTGAGGAAAAAAAACTTCAAATTGCAATAGATATCGATGTCTTATCTACTTATGTCGCCAAGCAGCAGTACGTTAACTGCTGTATTCCAGTCGAAAGGGTACAGAGAGTCAGTATAATAACTGGATGTAACACAATCCATCTTAGTGTACAACTCACGGTCGAAAGTCTAGCGGTGACCGCTATTGCGCATAATAGCGTATGATTGGCAGTGCGTATCGTTTGTACGCGCGGATTAGCTCTCCAGTCGCAGTCTGTCCCCCGTACTGATACGACATGCCATTTATCACCTCCATTTAGCCGTCCTACACGAGTTGTAGATTCATTCTTATACGTGGTAGAGCCATGCTGCAGTTATATTACGAGAGTAGTATAGTTGTAGCACGAATGGGTCGGCTCGACCGGGGAAGGAACGCGCTTTCACAGAATACCAGCGTAAAATAGTAGCTTAATGCTGCTGTGTTTCGTATGGTGAGTGTAGAGGACCGGAGACCCTTTTTACTGGAAATAAGGCATCCATCTTAGTCCTCACGGGTGACAACGCATCTGCATTTTGATTCGTAATCGAGGATAGATGGGCCACATCAACCACTTACCATCAGGTGGACTGCATGCTCGTTTGTTACCATATTCTATAAAATAAATAAAGTTGCACAAGTGACAACGCATCTGCAGCGTTCTTTGTTTGAAGTAAGCTACAGGTATATATAGGCTATAATAGCTGTTTACCATCAGATTGACTGTAAATTAATTTATCACTTCACTTTAAAAATAAATTTCATCCATAACTACATTTAACATTTACATTTTAAGCGTGTATAATTAGAACTATCTCACTACCTATTTTAAACATTTTAACTAAGGATTTACGACAATATTTTTACAGTAACGAGCCAATTCAGACGATTCAGTACTCACCGGACAACAAGTACGTGGCGCTCGGCTCTAGGGATAACTTCATCTACATCTACCAGGTCGACGATAACTGTTCCCGTTACTCCCGACTCGGGAAGTGCTTGGTGAGTCTTATGTCTCCATTTCACTGCCACTCCTACACAGGGAACGTTAGTACGTTGATGTATGTTGTCTCTTTCACACTTCACTATCTCCTTTTTCTTGTCGTATAAAGTTTGTTTTGTTACCTCTTTTGTTTTATTATTTTTCAATAACGCAATGAAACAAACAGACTAACAGTCCACTTATTTGTTATGGACTATTGCAACTTATGGACAACAGCAACCAACTTCAAACAAAAGAAGAAATCAAAACATCCAGTATGATGTCACTTTACGGGGCTAAAATTTAATTCCCCAATAGACTGTGATCATGCTGCTTTCCCCATACCCTTCGCATTGAAACGTAGCAGGTGGTTTATTCTAACTAGACGGGCTTCTAGACAAAAAACACATCCAACGGCAGTTTTCCTTAAAATATGTTTTATTTTACTTTTATTTATTTCACTTCTTTATAAATGCACCAAGCCGTACTAAATTATCTTATATATTCATATTGTCTTACACTAATACTCGTGTAAAATACAATGGACAAGTGAGTTTATAGTTTTAATGTAATACATAAAGAAAATAAACACAGATCACAAAGATAAAAACAGATGACATGGACAACTCAATCATAAAAAGCAACCAGTAGCACAAGTTGACACTAACGTAATGATTTCTTATATTTACGTGAACACTACACATTGATTTATAATAACAAAAATAATTAAAATTAAACGCGATAAAATCCGTAAAAGTAGTTTTAACCAATTGACACTAACGTTTTTGTATCGTCATCGATTAATTTGTATGGAAATAATTTTGACTGGTTCCCTCAATATTTTTGCCTAAAAATTTTAAGATACATATACATACATAAACATTCACGCCTGTCACCCAGAGGGGTAGGCAGACACTACGGACTTCCATTTGGTACGATCCTGACATACCTCTTTCGCCTCCTTTACATCCATATATCTACGCATACATGCTCGTCGGTTAGGGGTACTTCTAACGTGGCCCCTTTTCAAAATATCGCCAATTTGGTCGATAAACTTTTTTCTAGGGCGTCCCTTCCCGACTCTGCCGTTCACATCTGCCATATAAATTTGCTTTGTCACTCTTTCCTCATTCATTCTTTCTACATGACCAAACCACCGAAGCATTCCTTTCTTAATCCTGGTCACAACATCATCTTGCATACCACATTTATCTCTTATCATGCAATTTCTCACCCTGTCATTCAGATTCAACCCTAGCATACTCCTTAAAGACCGCATTTCTACAGCATTTATTCTACTTTCGTGCTTCTTCTGCCACACCCAACTTTCACTACCATACATTAAAGTAGGGACTAACACAGCATTATGAATTACCATACGTGCCTTTTTTGACACATTCTGGTTCTTCATAATAGAGTGTAGTGCCCCATTCACTCTATTCCCTGCATCTACTCGTCGTTCTATATCCTTATCATATCTACCATCCCTGCTAAATACACATCCCAAATACACAAACTCATCCACTTGCTCAATTAACTCTCCTTCTATTCTTATTTCACATACCGTTTTTCTTTCTTCTCTTTCAAAAACCATCACTTTCGTCTTACTTGCGTTCACTTTCATTCCCCTTTCTTTTAATTCCCAGTTCATTAATGTAACCATCATTTGCAACTCAGCCGCCGATGACGAAAATATGACTTGATCATCGGCATACAAAAGGCATTTGACGGTTAACTCGCCCATTCTTAACCCACATTCTTCATCTTTCAAAGTTTGCAAACACCTGTCCATAAATAGGTTGAACAGCCAAGGGGAAGCTACACAGCCCTGTCTGACACCTTTTTCGATGCCAAACCAGTCCGAGTAGACCCCATTGATCCTGACACAAGCACTAGAGTCCCTATAAAGAGACCTTAATGCCTGTATCAAACCAGCGCTCAACCCATATGAGTTCAGTGTTTGCCATAACACATTCCTGTCCACTCTGTCATAAGCCTTTTCCAAGTCCATGAACGCACAAAAAACTTTCTGGTTTTTGGCCAAAAACTTCTCCGCAATCATGCGCATGGAAAAGACTTGATCTGTACACCCCATTCCCTTTCTAAAACCCGCTTGCACATCCCAAATTTTTCCATCAGTTTCTTTCATAACTCTTTCAATTAACACCTTAGCGTACCGTTTACCCACAATACTAAGCAAGCTGATTCCACGGTAGTTTTTGCAATCCTGCTGTGACCCTTTTCTTTTCTTTGTGAAATTTTAAGATCAAAAATAAAATTAACCACAGCTACATCAAAATTACTAACCGTAAACACCGACACATATTCAAAGTCGTTAAAATTATACAATAAAACTCTAGAATGTATCACAAGCAATAAAAGCATAATAACCACGTCGTGATCATAAAATGATCTCGTTATTATTTCAGTAAATTGCAAATATTCTTCTAATCATTATTGTGATAATATTTTATAAATAATGCTAAAATTTAAATATAATATTACTAATTGCCAATATTTGCAGTGCCCTTACAGGGTTCTTGTTTTGAATTATTTGTTATAATTAAGTTTAAATTGTATACAATAAGAATAGCAAATAAATTGAATAGAGTATATACAGCGCCCCTGGCGGATGTAAATGGAACTATATTTTTATCATACAAAGTCACTCGATAACGAAACGAAATCGATACGATAGACAACTTGTGCTCAGTAGGCTCTGATACAACATATTAGGCAATCGACAGTTGGCCCACAAGATTTCGAAAAACACGATGGTTGTATTTTGACTACAAAACAACTTCTATTTTATATCTATTGTGTTCTTACCATAAATTTGTGTGAAATTAACCATGGCTAATGATTTCATGCGTTTCTAGTGCACGGAGAGAAAGCGTAGAAGGGTAAAACTCAACATTATATAGATTAGACCAGCACGAGTAGAATGTATCTATTATGCGAAGAGTTTATAACGTAAGAGCTTGTTCAGCCTCTTGCGGAGTCTTACAATGGCTGCTCTGCTATTTGGTATAAAAACACGTAAGGGTTGTACACACGAATTGTTTTTCAACGGATATAATCTCTATCAAGGAGAATTTTCGGTATTTTTAATAGAGTAGGGATACCAATACCAAACGAGCACACAGCCCGATGGTAAGTGGACGCTGTGACCCATAGACATCTACATTCTATCCTTGATTAAGAATCAAAATGCAGATGCGTTGCCACCCTCGAGGACTAAGATGGAATGCCTCGTTTCCAGTAAAAAGGGTCTTCGATTCTCTACACTCACCATCCGAAAAACAGTAGCATTAAGCTGCTATTTTACACTGGTATTCTGTGAGAGAGCGTGGTCCTTCTCCGCTCGAGCCGACCCAGTAGTGCTACAACCATAATATAGCTGTAGTGTCGCTTTACAACGTATAAACGTGTTTTATTTTTATTAATATAAGAAATCGTTATCCCTTTATTTTGCAATGTGTTAGATACCTTATTAGTGCAACTTACCTTGGAATTACCAACCCTTTGTGAATAATTGTTTTACTATTTAATATCCGTGTGTACAAGTCTTAACGTATAAAATTAGGCTTAAATTAGGTTAAAAAAATATGAGACTTGCAAAATAGCTATTGGCTTCCTCGCTTTCATTATATTCTGTTCAAAATAATTTGTAGCAGATCCTAATTTTAGTTGAAATTAACTTTGAAACACTACTAGTAACCTTATTTTTAAGGAATTCTAGCATAAGTCAATATTCAAATTCTTTTAACATTGTCAAGTTAGAAAAAAAAACGTTTTTTACATAGTTTTGCAAATCATACTTCAATGCTCTCGCTTTTAATTTTTCCGCGTCATTGAATTTATATTTTAAAGTAGTTAGGCTTTTTGCTCTTTCGTAAATGCTTCTATATTAATAGTGAATAGTTACGTAGTAGTAATTAGAAATTTAAATCTATTTTCTATTTGTTATAGTAGACACTCATTATAAATAAAATAAGATGTGTGTCAATCGTTTTTTCTAGTGACCCGATCGATCAAGTATAATATATGCACGAATTTGATTGTTTCGGTCAATCATCTTGTGACTCATTTCAGTATTCAATTTCAAATTGTATGTATTTTTGTATAACAAGATTTAATTGAATTGAGCTTAAAACTGACACCGGCCAATTTTTGACACATTAAGAGAATTAAATTTAAAATCGTAACTCTACAGATAGTTTACTTATTAAAATGTTGTCAACTGCCCTACCGCTCATCACAGTGTGAAAGCGTTTACATGAACTATTTAATATTAGATTTGATGCCGTTTCCACAGGGTCACTCCAGCTACATTACACACCTGGACTGGTCGGAAGACAGCCAGTACATAAGAAGCAACTCCGGAGATTACGAACTACTGTACTGTGAGTACCTGTTGTACTTTGGTTAATTTTTAAAAGTAGTCAAAATGTGTTAACATCAAGGTATGGATAGTGAAGGCGGGCTATGGCAAAGGGAGCACGAGGGTGAAATTAATGCCATAGAAATGCGGTGAATAAGAAGTAAGTTAGTTTGATTCTGAATTACTTAGGTACAAAAAAAATGCTGCAGAAGTGAGCGACAGCCGGCAAAGTACGCCTTTACGGAAGTTAACTGACCAAATTGGCGATATATTGAAAATGGGCCAAATTATGAGTACCCTTAACCGATGAGCGTGTATGCATATATTAGATAATTTTTTTTACCGTCTGGAAAAAAATAGGGTGTAAGATGTGAATGGAGTAGAAGTCTGAGGCACGATATTTTACAAAAAATAAAAACAAACATTTTGAATTAAATGAATAAATTAATTAAAATTAATCGAAATGCAAATCATATCCACCCTACTTTACGAACGGCAATGAAACAATAAATTTAGTAGGCATCTTTGACCATGTCATTTAACAGGGTCACAGGCTCAAGGGCAAAAGGTAAACTAATTGTTAAAAAAAATTCAAACGCTTAATTCAAAATTTTTGTAAAATATCAGTGCTATAGGATGTATTATTCTGTTCACATTTTAAGCTCTATTTTTATGGAGTGTAGAGATAATGAGAACAAACTCTGTATAAAAAAATGTCCGTAGAAAAGCGCTAAGTAAGGGTGGCGCCACTGTAGCTACAGTGTCAATTTTAAAGAACTTTTATAATTTTTTTATTGCACAGTCTTTCACCATAATTCTTTTATAATAATTATTTTATTGTTTTCGAAATTTTTATTTTCCAAATCACTCTCAACGTATTTTACGGCGATTTATCATACCCTGTAGCTACTCGAGCGCAGTTGTGGAGAGTTTTTGAACTGTTATTTACTGCTTACAGATGGACACATTTTCAACTATTCTTCTATGGGAGATTGTCCTCCTTACCTCTATACTCCATGCCTATTTTTTTAGACTGTAAAAACCAGTCAGTATAAGGTACCAGTATAAAGGAGGCCCGCAGTGGCATACACATAATATATTATGGGTGCGCGAAAAGTGACCAAATGTATAGCGGGGCGAACGATCAAGTGCACTGTATAAACGTGGTTCAAAAGGAACGTGGCGGTCGTGGCACGTGGCGGATTTTGGACAATATACTTGCTTTGAAATTAATTTAATGTTTATAAATAACTTGCCAGTCAAAATATTTACTTATATAAATATAATGGTTGTTATTTGTATAAATATTTTTGCTGGCTAGACGCAAGATGGGCTGCTGCGGATGAAGGAACAACAAATAAAATTAGCTCAAAATAAGGATGGGCACATACCTGGGGGGAACCGGCGAGCGGCCTCTTTCTCTACGGCCTTGCGGACACGACGAATTGTATTGCACTGGGCGAGCGGTAGCGCACGTCCTTTTCCCGCTCTTACCGTCTCCACTTCCACCTAAACGGAGCGTGCCTCTCATTGAAGGAACGAAGATGCATCCACCAATATCTAGCTCCCTCCATTAGGCAGGCCCGTGCGGGAAGGACCAAATGTGGGGGGAGGTTAGGGTAACTTAAGTGAGAAAATACATCGACAAATACAAACTGCAATGGTGTGGTTGGCGCAATCATATTAGGCTGTAACTTTATTTCACAATTCTTCCTACACTCAGTTATACTTTTGATCGTATTTAAACTGATTCCATTAATATAAGTTTATTGGTTGTCAGGGAACGCGACGACGTGCCGCCAGATCACGAACCCGACGTCGATGCGCGACGTGGTGTGGGCCACCAACCACTGCCCCATCACCTTCACCACCATCGGCGTATGGCCCGAGGGCGCCGACGGCCCCGACATCAACTCCTGCACCAAGTACAGCGAGCCTTCTTAACACTTATTTACATGTCCAAATTAACACTAAACCCCATCACGTCCACCAAACTAGAATGACTTTGAATTCTTTCTACGTTGTAGAGCCACGCTGTTGCTAATAGTATGGATGTAACACGAACGGATTGACTCGACCGGGGAAGGGCCAGGTTCTCGCAGAAGAATAATAGATGTCTATGGGCCAGATACCATCCGGCGCATTGTGTGCTTGTTTGTTACCCTTCTATAAAAGAAAGTCTTTGAATAAAACTAGTTTTCACTAATTTTATTTCGTATATTAGCTTATTTTATATTCCCGACGTTTCGAGCGCTTACAGTACCCATAGTCACGGGGGAGGGGGGGACTGAGGTGTTCGACGTCCCAATGTCATAGTTAACCACGGCTATCTCTATTTGTGTATTCTATTAATGGACTATTGAAATTACAAAAATGTGCGTTATTTCATTTATCCACCTAAAAAATCCTCCCTAGGGTGTATTTTTTAGGTGGATAAGCGGAATAAGACAAGAACGTGATTACTTTTCTTAGGTCTCATGACGGACGCTTGGTGGCGACTGGCGATGACTTCGGCAAAGTGAAACTCTTCGCGTACCCAGTCACTCAACCTAAGGTAACAAAATGCTCCTAATCAAAATTAAAATTACGAACAGTCACCCTGATGATGAACAGGAACAGTCCACCTGGTGGTAAGTGACCACTTTGTAACCTCTGAGGACTAAGGTGACACCTCTAGCCTAATACAAACAAGTAAAGGTTACAAAATTTCATCTTCATGCACATGGATGGAATGCCTCACAGTCTATAATTACACTAGCCCTTTATACCATCAGATCGGTAACAAGTACAGCTGCCTGGCGACAACAGGTAAAAGGCTAAAATTCCTATGATGGAAGTATCTTTATATTGTTTGGTTGTTAAATCGTGTTCTGAGGCCTAAAGTAATCCATCACCCCATTACGTCTTGTCGGAACAATTATTTTTACACTTTGCATGCGAAATTCGAACCCGGGGCCCTCAGAGTCGCAACTTATTCTATCTAAATCACGTGTCAAATACCCAGAGTGAAGATTGAGAATAGCATCAAATTATGATCTAATTTGAGATTGAAATATACGGGGTCTGTTCCGAAATGTTCCCAGTATACTGGCGAATACAAAGAACGTCATTAACTGACGCCATATTGTACTGGAGTGCCGCCGCCATATTGTGTCGGATATCACTCAACATTAAAACAATTTTTGATTGTATGTACGCTGAATGAAGCATGCCAGAATTTGTTTTTATTTATTCAAATACAAAAAATTATAGAATTATTGCTGGTATCTCCATTCTTCACAAATGAATTGAAACAGGATATAATTTATATTTATACTTTTGGAGCACAAAATGACATAAAATAATCGCTAACACTTTACCAATATGGCGCAAATGTATGATGTCATATACTGGCCAATGTTTTGTAACGAATCACCAGCATGACGTCAACTTATGACGTCATTTTCATTGGCCAGTATACTGGGTTCTACTTCGGAACACACCCACGAAATAGAGCTACACTTCAGCACGATTAGGTCGGCTCGAAGGACCAACTCTCACAGAATACCATAATATTATATATATTCTAGTGAAAATCCCTTCACACTAGAAACGAACGATTTCCATGTGTGTTATGTCTATGGTTAACTTACTTAATACGGATCGTAGTTTGAAATAAAACATATCGAAATATTGAAACCGGGCATTAGTCGCCTCTTAAGACACGCAGAGTTTCATTTCAAGCAGCGATCCGTATTAAGTAGGTTCTAAACCAAGATTGTAGAAGATAGAGATAGATTTCAACTGATTGTAACTAATTGTGTGTGATATGGTGCAGTCGCTATGCCATGCGTACGGAGGGCACTCGTCCCACGTGACGTGTGTTCGATTCCTGCCGGATGATTCCCGCCTACTCAGCACCGGTGGTCTGGACACCGCAATAGCGCAATGGATCGTCGATTGAAATGGTTATAAACCACACACACACACACCACCGATAAAGTCGACGCCGCGAAAGGACTCCCGCGGGAAATGTCTTGATTAAAATGAAAATTATGGAGTTTGATAGCTCATCAAATTTCTCGCGAGTTATACTGTTACCAAAGAGTACTACTAATGGTAACAGTATACTACGAAAGTACGCGTATATACTCTCTCATTATATTGAAAATGTTAAGAGTCTAAATTTTTACCATCGCTAAATTAAAACGAAAAACACGGATTTAAAACGTTGTCCACGTTTTACGTTGTACCTCAAGAAATTAAAATTAAATATGCACGTGCACCACGCATTGTTTTGTCTTTATATTATTTAAAGAAAAATCGCTTTCTTCAAAAAGGCTGAAAGTATTTCGGCAAAATGTAAGTCTGGACACAAATATTTGAAAGAGAAAAACACGTTCATACGTTTGGTACTTTAAATAAGACGATCTTTACCGCGGCCTTTACCTATAATATTGCTGATATGTATGGGAAAAATTGAAGTTATTTTTGTTAAATTTAATTAATCAAAATATTTAAATTCACTATTTTTTTTAATTTATAAGTTATAACACACCCAATATTTGATGGTAATTTGTTTTACCAAAATATACACAACTCTGTAGCACAAAAGTTTAGTTAATAACGTAATAATTTTATGTAAATCCATACATCATTTAAAATAAAATATTATGTTTTGAAATAACTAAAAAATACTTATATCTTGCTTATTGAATTATAACCCATGTTTTAAGCATTATAAACTTACCTCTACGATTGCATTGAGTGTGATTTTTGTACCTTATATAGTCTGTGTAAATTAGAAATTTAACGAATTTATATAAACCTTCTATAGTACTGTCAACTAAAACGGCGGGAAAGGAGTTCAGATTCGCGGGCTATTTTTAATCGAACTGCTTTTTTAGAAAGAAAGTATTTTCAGTATTGTTCATTTGTTGTTTAAAAATAAACCAAATATGTATACAAAATAATTTTTAAATTAATTTCACTGATTGCATAATATAATGACCTGCTCTGAACGTTTTTTCTAGCCGTTTTAAAAATCAAAAAATAATGTAATCGATTTGAGTAATTTTAAGGATATCGTATTGGGGGCTTACTTGAGATTTTTTGAAGTTAAGTATAAATCGCACTTCATCAACTTATTCTTGTCAAGTTTCAACCCGATTTTGTTTATGTTTTGGTAATAAATAAATATTTAAATATGTATGACATTATTATATAAAAAAAGAAATGGAAGAAGGAGCACAATACGATGACCTTCCCATTGGTATACCCAAATGTGAGACATATTATCCTCGTGTATAACAAAGTATTTCATATAATTTTTCCTTTTATTTGATATTGCTTAGCAAATAAGAAAACTTACAACTTAGCTATCCATTGATGGCAAAGAAGGCTTGAACTGTTCGATTTTGTGTCCTTAGCCTTAAAAATAATAGAAGTTTTTATTTAATATAACTTTTACACGGTTTCATTATGAAATCTGCAAGGCAAAGCAAATCTTTTTTATCGAGTCACTTATTATGATTCGAGTTTCGATCATCACACATCAATTGTCCATTATGTTTATGTATATAATTATTATAAAATAATTTAGTTTTTGCGCAAAAGTTACATTTTAGTAGATTTCTAACTATAGAACTGAATTTTTTGCTTTTAAAATATGGCCTAATAAAAATTACAAAATGGTGTTTTTCAATATATTGTATGGAGCTATTAAGTGCTTTATGAAGACTGTTGAAATGAACATGGAACATTTTCTTTTCAACTGATTATATATACCTATATATATATATAATCAGAAATTAGCATTTTTATGTTTTTATATCGCATCAGAGCGACGGTTTTAAATATAGAAGGATACGTAGACACTACCTAAGAATATGGATGTTAGGAAGGAGGAAGAACAAAATTAACAACTTTTGTCTAAAGGAATCTTATGAAAGTCAAGTGAAAAATTATTACGCCGGGACCTCAATTTTGGTTACTCCCAAATTATTGCCTAACGTTCAGATTCCGTCGAATTATTTATACTGTAGTATAGTTTGCATGTTATATGGTTTTAAATATTTTTACACTTGCGATTTTACAAATATTGTTAATATGTGATTGAGCTTTTTAGCGTATTTTAAATGTTTTAAGCATAATATCACTGTTTTAACCGTATTATTTAATTAAGGGTGAGATGGATCAAGTTTACAAATTAGGTTACGTTTGTATTTAATCATTTTTAACGTGGTTTATGATTAACTTACAACTGATTTTATATTATAATTTTGCATTTCTTGTTATTTAATGTGCCTTTATAGTTTCTAAATTTGTACCCATTACATTATTCCACTTATCTAAAATTACAAATATCAGTACATTTTTTTTCCATAAACCACGTTACATTTTAAATTATTCAAATTGCAACTCTTTTATAGTTTTTATTTCTTTGTAACCTAGTCACCTTCGGAGATCGTTTCTTTGAGTTTCTGTCGACTCTCATTCCGTAGTGTAAGCACGAATGTTTTAGATACTATTGTGTATATATACTATAATTATACGATGGCTTTGTCCGTCTTTTTGAATGTGCCTCTATTAAAAACAATGTTTAATGATATTTGTCTTTTATTTCGCAGCTTTTGTAGGTATAAAGCGTATGGAAATTTATATGGAAGCACATTAGATCTTACCGTCATCTGTCAGATGTCCTATGTTAATTAACTTTTAATACTAATGGTTTCTAATATTTACGCGAATGCTACACATAAAATGAATCTAATTGTTTGGATTTTATGCGTTTAATTTTGCTTTTTAATTCTCGACGGGTGTTTAACGCCTCGATCCATCCCGCCGATTAAATGCGATGAAATCCGTAAAACTTATATACTTTTAATGATCGAAATCTTACGGTGTGGCGGCGCTGTCGTCGCACCACAAACGAAACGCACCGAAGCCTCAATCACGCTATAAAAGTTCCGAAGTACTGCGGTATATACAGGGTATTTTTGAAACATTTCCGAAAACGTAGACAGACGATAGTGTTAAAGATAGCTTTGATGATGAGACAAAAAGAAAATAGGTCCCGATGAAAATAAAATCATTTTTTAACAAAGTTTATTTAGCTTTATTCACGCTCTATCTAGCTAAATGAAACGATAATATCATTAAAAAATCGGGAAAATATATATAACCAGCAGTGGAACTTAAATACCTGAAAACAGCTGATAAATGATCAAAAAACGCGAGGACGCTTGAACTATTTTTGTTGAGCTGCGTACGAAAAATACATTAGGTATTACTGTATTTACGCTCACTCTACCCTTCCCTTTCACACACATGTTGCGGCGTTGCCAAACCGAAATTTACCTACTAAAATTTGCAGAGGAAATAAGCATTCGAGGCGGCAATCACTGTGCTTGTTGCGTCAGGGTACATTTCATTGTCTAATTACATTAAAAATTATAACTATAACTTCTAAATTCTATATGAAGACTAGTCGTAGATATAACACAACTTAAAAAATTCAAGTTGGGAATGTCATAACGGTTTAATGATCTTTGTAATGGTACAGTAACACGAAAGTAGCAGTGAGGATTTATTAATTTTAGTTTTTGAGACAGTTCCGTGTTTAAGCGCGCGTGAGCGACAGTTTCCCTGTTTTGTTTATGAAATTGTAATGTTTTGTGTTTCTTGTTTTGTTTTAATAGTGCCTAACGTGTACTTTTATAGTGCTCGTGAATACGGTGACAAATTAATGTGCCTTGGAAAAGCTCGCGGGAATGCTTCGCGTGCATTATGAATTTACAATTTTATAAAGTATCGTAAATCGTAAAGTAGTTAAATTGTTTAGGCTTCGGGATGGAACAAGTGTGTCATACTGGACGGTTCACAAGGTGTTAAAGTGTAACCGAATGCGTACATACAAAGTGTACAAAGTGCAAGCTTTAGTTCCCGGCCAAGTGCAAGTTTTCTCCCGTTGGTTATTAGACCAGCAACAACGTGTGCTTGGTTTCATTGAGCACGTCATCTGGACGGACGAGTCGACATTTAACAAAAACGGCCTGTGGAACCGAAGTAATACACCACTTGTATTCCAAGGTTAACCCGCACGCTGTTCGACAAACCCAGCACCAAACGCAATGGGCGGTTAACGTATGAGCAGGTTTATTTAAGGATTTAGATCTGTAAGCTGTTTCATACTTAAGTTTTTAAATAACTTAGTACTGATCTGATCTGTACATTAATGATTTACCGCATTCAATAAATTGTCAAAGTGTTCTATTTGCAGATGACATATCTATAATAGTGCCATATAAGGATCAAGATACATGTCACGAAATAAAAATAAGTAAAGAGGTACAATCTGTATTAAGATGGCTAAAAGCAAACAAATTAAATGTAAATCTGTCAAAAACAAAATTCATAAAATTTGGTACGAATAAAAGTAAACGCACTGATAATAACATTAACATAAAATAGAAAATGACAGTATAGAAGAAGCTGACAGCATAAAATTCTTGGGTTGGATAGATTTTGTGATCGTAAACAACATGTAAATGATGCTTGTCTCAAACTAAGCAGATTTGCCTATGCCCTTAGAAAGCTTCGGACCGTATCACATATAAAGACTGCAGGTATAGCATATAAAGGCTATGTGAGTCAATCCTTAGATATGGGTTAATAATATATGGAAATTCGACCGATGTTGGTCAAACATTCATTGCACAAAAGAAATGTTTAAGAGCTATTTGTGGAGCAAGTCCCCTCGACTCCTGTAAATCTCTATTTAAAAAAACTTAATTTACTGACATTGACCTGCGTGTATATATTCTTGGGGTATTAGTCTCTGTAAGGAAGTATAACATCATCATCATCACAGCCCTTCACAAGTCCACTGCTGAACATAGGCCTCCCCAAGTAATGCCACAAAGCACGGTCCTGAGCCACCTGCATCCATCGACTTCCTGCATATCTTACCAGGTCGTCACTCCATCTAGTGGGGGGTCGCCCTACACTACGCCTACCGGTACGAGGCTGCCACTCGAGAACCTTTCTTCCCCATCGGTTATCGGTTCTTCGAGCTATATGGCCGGCCCATTGCCACTTCAGCTTACTAATCCGTTGGGCTATGTCGGTCACTCTGGTTTTACTGCGGATATCCTCATTTCTGAGTCTATCACGCAGAGAAACTCCGAGCATAGCCCTCTCCATAGCTCGCTGAGCGACCTTGAGCGTCCTCATACGGCCAGCAGTGAAGGACCACGTCTCTGATCCGTAAGTCATCACTGGCAACACGCACTGGTTGTACACTTTAGTTTTCAGAGATTGAGGTATACCTGACGAGAAGATGTGTCGTAATTTCCCAAACGCTGCCCAGCCGAGTTGAATCCGTCGATTGACCTCTCGGTCGAAGTTGGACTTACCTAGTCGGACTATTCGTCCCAGGTAAACGTACTCGTCAACAACTTCGAGCATATTGCTCCCAACAACTACCGGCATAGGTGTGACATGGACATTAAACATGATCTTTGTTTTGTCCATGTTCATCTTAAGACCTATCCGTTGGGAGGCACTATTGAGGTCATTGAGCATAGTGCTTAAGTCCTCCAGCGATTCTGCCATAAGGACTATATCGTCGGAAAATCAAAGGTGAGTGATGTACTCGCCATTGATGTTAATACCGTATCCTTTCCAGTCCAGTAGCTTGAAAACGTCTTCCAAAGCAGCGGTGAAGAGTTTCGGGGATATAACGTCACCCTGTCTTACACCTCTCTGCAGTTGGATAGGTTTCGAGCTCTGGTTCTGTACTCGGATAGCCATCGTAGCCCTACTGTACAAACACTTCAGCACTTCGATATACCGACAGTCAACTTGGCACCGCTGAAGGGACTGCAGCACCGCCCAAATTTCGACGGAATCAAAGGCTTTCTCATAGTCCACATACGCCAGGCAAAGTGGCAAATTGTACTCTTCAGTCTTATGTACAATCTGCCGCAGGGTATGTATGTGGTCTATGGTACTGAAGCCTTTTCGGAAACCGGCTTGTTCGGGAGGCTGGAAGTCGTCGAGTCTGCGTGCGAGACGATTCGTAATGACTCGAAAACAGCACGTAGACGCGGCTCAGAAGGGAAATCGGTCTGTAGTTCTTCAAGAGAGCGTTGTCGCCTTTCTTAAAGAACAAGACCACCGCAGGAAGTATAACAATTTCTTTAAATTCAAGGGGGATCATGTGACTAAATACAGATCAAGAGATCCTACTAAAATAATGATTCCATCTTGCAGAACAGCTTTAAATAAACGGAATGCATATTATATGTGCATATCAGTTTTTAATAAACTGCCTAAGAGTCTACGGGAACTTCCATTTAAATATTTTAAAATTAAGTTAAGAAAATGGCTAGGGGATAAATGTTTTTATACGATACGAGAGTTCATGCAACATAAAAGTAATGCACATGATTATTTGTAAAATTAAATATAATGTAATATAATAATAATAAATAATATAACTTGACATTTTTGTAAGTAATATAATAGTATTTTATTGTCTTATATAATTATAAATATTTGCATGCCTATTAAAGGCAGAATATAGCTTGAACTATGCACCACTGTTAAATCTGCTAGAATACAGGTGATGCTGTGCAAATAAATATTTCTTTCTTTCTTTCTGAATAACTGATACATAACTGAATACACCAGAATAACACACATACCTACACGATAGATAATTTAAGTAACTTTTTCATAAGCGGGGAATCGAACCAGCTATTTGGTTTATTTAACCTGTGAATTCGAATTAAAGTAGCTAGTTGGAGACTAGCATAATGTCAAAATAGTAGGTTAAGTAGATAAGTTAGGTATTGGGACAAGTATTGTAAATTATTAGGTATTGGTACGATCGCGGGCGGCACATGAGTAGATTCCATTTATCTACTCATGTAGCTGCGGGCCGAGCGGATTTAGCGTCACGCGTACAATGACCCTTGTCAGCTAGATTTTACGTATTTGTTTCTTCACTTCTGATTTTATGTTTAGGTATTTCCATTTTTTTTTATGAAATTATCGTTTCATGTAGCTATATTAACATATAGATAGAGCGTGAATAAAGTTTTAAACGTTGTAAAAAAATGATTTTATTTTCATCGAGATCGATTTCCTTTTCGTCTCATCATCAAAGCTATCCTTATTACTATCGTCTGTCTTCGTTTTCGGGAGCGTTTTAAAAACAACCGGTATACAGTAGCTATGTAACTATGCTAAAACACGGAGCACTGGCCGCTCCTCGGATATACACCTTGCCCGGCGGGAAATCTCCCCTTTACCTTCCTCAGCTAAACGGTTTATAGTGAATAAGGTAAAAGAATCCAACTACCCCATATCATCCCGTAGGTGGTATTTTCCTCACATTAACTAAAAATAATTTAAAAACAACCGCAACATAGCAAAAGTTCTCCCTGTGGCGGAAGGCTTATTCAGTGTGTTTTTGAAAGACTGGAACAAGGAATGATATTATGAGTCTTAGTAATGGTCCAATCCGAATAAATAGTGACCACCCCCTTAACTCTAAGACAAAAAAGTCTTTCAACAACACGTATACTGTATGTTTTTACTGTCTGGATACCTACCATACACTATATGACACATGACTACCTACATAGTTTCAAAATTTTGTTAAGGCATTACCGATCAGACGCCTTATTTGCGTTAGTAACAAAGTAAAGTTTAACAAAATTTATTTACTGATATAAGAGAATTTTAGTTTTGGATAATATTAGTGTAAAACTACGACGATGAAATAAGTTAAAAATGTAAAATGAAATATTTCCACTCGTTTTTATTTACAAAATCTATGTACTTGTGAATAATTGAATTGATTCAAATTTGCTTCAAATCTTTTATTTAGATAATATTTTAATTTTTTTTAATTTATTTTACTTTCAAAGTTTATCTGGATAACTTTCAACCCTGAAAAAATTATAATTATTTTCTTTTAACTAGCAAAGCTGGGTCAAATTATAATTGAGTTGAAATTTAAATGAGGTCAATTACTTATATTTAGTTCGCCTGGTTTTCTGATTATCCTTTGAATGAATTTTTTTTCATGAGTAACTATGTACATTATGAAATCTCGCACAACACATCTTCTAAGGATATTTTCTCTACATATTTTTCTTGGGACAGGAAAAATACTAAAACATGAGGTAAACGTCCAACGATTTAATTAAACTATGAACAACAACTACATCTATATTAACTGCTCAACACTGTTTGCAGACAACTCTAGGAGTCTCCAGGCCGCTTTGGGGTTCAATTCTTGGGGATCCCTGCAGAGAACCCACACATAGTTCACCCTCATGACTTTGTCAGGATCGCCTTCTATGACATTATTCTTGCCGTCTCTGACACACATGATTTGTTGGGACTGGAACGTGATAACCAGGACAGGTCCCTGGTCCATCATTTTTCCCATGACTAGCTCGATCTGTTCTATATCTAGGATTTTAGAATCCAGACGGTAACCAAGTTGCTTGCACTGTTTAATTGGTGTGGACAAAATATTATATACTCCTTCGTAACACCAATCCTTCAGTATTTCCAAGTCGCCGCGCACCATTGCTTCGAGAATGTTCGGTATGATGTCGTTAGCGCAGTCTTCTAGAAACTTCTGTGCTGTGAAGTTGGGGTCGATCTTGCATATCTCGGTGAGGGTTTTAGAGAGTTCCGTCTTCTCGAACAAATTTCCGAAGAGGCTGCTTACTTTCTCGGTGATGAATCGGGATGCTTTTACCACTGCGTTATCAGACTCCTCATAGCGTATTTTCCAGTCCAAAACCTATTACCAACAAGAAGGAATATTAATTTATTTATTCTTTATTGCATTTCCTATTACTTAAGAATATAAAGGATGAACTTAATGCCATGAGACATTCTTCTTAATCAGCCCATGGAGTGAAAAAAAATAAGAAAAGGTTCAAATCACCTTGTTGACATACTGGTTGTTGTTCTTGAAGTTCTCCCACTGCTGGTAGAACTTGGAATCCTTGTGCAGCTCCAGGCCAAGAGTTTCAGTATCAGGAGCGAAAGTCCGTTCGTCTGCGGCCACCTGGGTAATATAAAATGTTTAAATAATAAGTAAAAACCTTTTTAAACAAAATGAGCCGATGTCCGAAAAATAAATAAGGCTGGTGATTCACTTATTACATATGAACACAACAATTTTTACAATTGGGTAAAAGTAGAGGAGTGAATAATGCTGGTGACTCACTTTTTACATATAATAAACAGAACAATTCTTTTACAATTGGGTTAAAGAAGTAGAGTAAATAAAGCTGGTAACTCACTTGTTACTTATAATAAACACAACAAGTGTTTACAAATGGGCAAGAGTAGTATTAGTATATAGTGAATAAGGCTGGTTACTCACTTTATACATACAATAAACAGAACAACTTTTTTACAATTGGATAGAAGTAGTAGCGTAAATAAGCTTGGTGATTCACTTATTACATATGATAAACAGACCAGTTTTTTACAATTGGGTAAAAGTAGTAGAGTGATTAAGGGTGGTGACTTACTTATTACATACAATAAATAGAACAAGTTTTTAAGTGTAATTATTAATAAGTTTAAAGATAATGGTGTATGCAAATAGCACTAATATATTTAAGTTTAATTTTTCTTTCTAAGTTAAAATCCAAGATTAGAATATTAATTCTGGTAGGTACATAGAATATAAGTGGGTGATGAATTTGCCAACAAACTGCCCTACAGTTTGGCGAAAGAAGCATAAGAAACCACCGAATGTATTTTTATGTAATAAAATATGTAAAAAAAGTGGAACGAATAAGGATGGTGACTTGCTTATTACATACAATAACCAGAACAAGTTTTTAAAATTAGGTAAAAGTAGTAGAGTACTATAACACATTATAATTAAATTACTAATATTTGCTTCCATGATTAGTGTTTCAAAACTTCGTCGATTATCTGTATAAAATTATTTTTTTAAATAAACAAATACAACGTTCATTTGACTACCTACCAGAAACCATTTTGTCTTTTACTAGTATTTTCAATAGAATTTATGTGATGTGGTAATAAAAACTGTGGGAAAGATTATACTCAATGTTCAATTACGTCGTCTAAGAGAAATTACATCTAAAAGATAGAGAAATATGGGGAAGAGTCTGATGAACTGTACAAGCCTATCGATTGCTATTTATTTTAAAATAAAGTTATAACCTTTCTTATGTTACAGCATTATATTATATTTATGTCGTGTAATTTATTTTTGTCACTTATATTTCTATAATCCTGTCTTGTGTAAATTTAAAAAATAATTGAACTCAAACTATATATCCATACATATAATAAAAATGTAAATTGCATGGGTCTGTACATTGTAAATTTTAGTAACAAAAATGATTGAGAGGAACTAACTTTAAACTTAACTAAAAAATGAAAAAATGAAAAATGATTCATTTATTTACAATGATACATTTTAAACCAGTCGCAGGGGCCCCTGTACTAGGTTGGGAACCTGTATTACTGGGTACCCTGCTCATCCACCAAGACAATACAATGTTAATCAATAAATAACAAAAAGCAAGGCAAGATCTAGCATTAGAAAGTAAATGAAATTTGGAATATAATAATAATTACATGATAAGGAGATGCATGCAAAGCATGCACGCGTTTGTGGTGTGTGTGTGTGCGTGCGCGCATGTGTGTGTGTGTGTGTGTGTGTGTGTGTGTGTGTGTGCGTGCGCGCATGTGTGTGTGTGTGTGTGTGTGTTTTTTTTTGTGGTTGTGTGATAGTGCTTTAACAATTGGTGTGTTTCCTCGTAGTTAAAATAAAAAATATAATTACTACAAATTTTGGTACTCCTACGTTTTGGTGATGAGGTATGAAAGGTAAATGTCGATGCTTTTTTAAAATGCAATTCAATATATACATCTGGCGAGTAGTAAGCAATTTGTAAGACTTATGTAGTTCAAAAGTTGAAAATCGAAACGGTTTCAAGAACATCACCTTAATTAGAGCTCTTTGAGCTCTTTCTAGTCCTATTAGATGTGTTTTTGCTGCACCACCCCAAACAGGTATGCAATAACTCACTACCGATTGCGCCAGAGCTTTGTAGGTGGTGATAAGAGTCGTTTCATTTGCAACACATCTGAGTTTTTTAAATACCCATGTTAGTTTCCCTATCCTGTCAGCAATGTTTTCAATGTGTTGACTCCAGGTAAGGTGCTGATCAATAGTTACACCGAGATATTTGATGGTACTAGTCCTAGTGATTTTATCACATGAGCAATTATTATAGCTATCTAAATATGGCTTATGGCAGGTATGAACTGTTAGGTTAAATTTAGAATATGGTTGTGTATTTTTCCGTATAATAAAAGGTATGAATTTAGTTTTGTCAATGTTAAAGGTCAGAAGGTTCGATCTTAGCCAGTTAGATATATGGTGTATTCCGGAGTCAGCAAAAATCCTTAGATTTTCCCATGATTTTGCGTTAAAAATGAGAGCAGTGTCATCTGCGTAGGTGTATATTTGACAATTTTGTAGGCTTAAATTGCATAGATCATTGACATAGATTAAAAATAGAGTTGGTCCGAGGACGCTACCTTGAGGGACACCATAAGAGATATTTGATGGACGGCTAAGATATTCACCAAGCTTGAGCTGTTGCTGACGTTCGGTAAGATAGTCTGTTAGAAGGGCGTGAGGCAGACCTGTTATACCATATTTATATAGTTTGTCTAACAGGATAGGAATAGAAACGGTGTCGAACGCCTTGGCCAAATCCAAAAAGACTCCAAGACATTTGTTACCAGAGTCCAGTTTCTTACTTATTTCTTCAGTTAAAGCTAACACAGCGTCCTGAGTAGAAATTCCATTTCTAAAACCAAATTGGTTTTTAGAGAGCAGGTCGTTATCTATGAAATATTTTTTCAATCTATTGTTTATTAGTTTCTCTAGTATTTTTGATAGAACTGTTAGCACAGAAATTGGTCTGTAGTTGTCCACATCATCTTTACTTCCACTTTTATGTATAGGGGTTACTAATGCCCTTTTAAATGTTATGGGAAATCGGCCACTTTTAACCTTTTGAGCGCCAAAGTCGTCTATACGTGACCAGCACCCGCGGGCCCTGAGCGCCAACGACGTCTATAGTTGACAAAAAACCCGGCCCACAAAAATATGAAATATAGACATTGGAAAATTATTACTGGTATTTTAATTCTACACCCCTCAAAAACGAATAACCCAGCAACATGTGAGTATAAAAAACAAGTCTCCTAAAGCACAAGTACTAAGAAACATTGAACTAAAAAAAATGGATTTTTATCTAAGCAAATACTATGTCCAGCACGCCAAAGTCGTCTATGTTTGACCGCTAGTGTTGTAATGCGTTAGGCATAAATTTATTGAAAACTATTCAAAATTAAGCTCAAACGTGTTTTTTTTTTGTCTATTATTATTGATATTTAAATAAAACAAAAGGTTAGAAATATAAAACTATAATTAGCTACATGAATAAAAAAAAATTATCAAATTATCTTCGCATAATAAATCTAATATCTCAACTCTGGCGCATCCTTAGCGCGACATCGAAAATCAGTTCACTGGGCGCCGTGGTCATGTATAGACGACACGCTGATGACGTCATAAGCGATTAGCGAGAAAATTAGTGCAGTGCAACATGAACGATTCCTCAGAACTCATTCGGATTTTGGAAAGCGTCGACGATGATGAATTTTCGGAATCATTACCTGAAGACTTAAGTGAGGTAAGTGTCTTAAGTTCCTAATAAATTAAACTTATTTTACTAACATGCATATTGCCTATTTTATGTATCTATTATTTTATAATATTTTGTTTAATTTTAAATATAATAAGTTCGATACAAAATGAAACTGTTTCCCGGACGACTCTTGTGAGCACATTTTTTATGTTTTTGTTTTCGAGTTTAGAATAACTCATCATGTTCGTTTACTTTTATACTGCAACTAGTAGATATTTTTTCTGTCAAAAAGCTAATGGTAATATTGTTTAGCGAAATAAATATCTTAAACCATATTTCACAATAATCCTTCCGAAAAGTAGGTACCGTGAGTAGACCATAAATCATAAATCAACCTAATGAAAAAGCATTAAGGTCCAAAATAGTATATCGACTTTCTACCTTTCGGTATTACAATCGTTTCGAATAGAGGATATTGTGAGTAGACTAAAAATCAATGTAATGGTAAAACATTAAGATCTAAAATAGCGTGTCGACTTAGTACTAAATTGCTCTTTTGTTCTCGGCGGCGACGTTCTTTTTTTGTTACTAACACTTTCGCGTCTTACAGTAATCAAACGCATACAATCTACAATGATAATAATTACATACATTTTTCTTCATGACAAGTTTTCTCGTGAATTGTATTTTTTTTAATCAAAATATTGTATTTTTACAGAGACATGTATTATGACTGGGGTCTTCATCAATTGGACACTTTAGTTGAGTACGATGACAACCATTTTAAATCACTTACACGGTTTGGATATCATGCACTTCATCATTATTTTCCAACGTTGGATCATGCAGAACTGAAATATCTTTATCCTACCTTTCTTGAGCACTGCGAGAAATTTGAAGTTGAATTTCGAACATCCACATATTATAAATCGTTTATCAGTCATAGTACGCAATTATTAAGGAAACGCCTCAACAATTTTAAAGAAAGAAAAACTGTACGTTAAATAGATACGCTATAACTTAACGTACAGAAAATACTTCTGACCATACTCTAATAAATGACTGGATATTATTTTTCGATGACTAATAAATTAGGATTTTGAACTATATACTTCTTATAAGGAAATAATATTATTTTTAAAATATTTTTATTATACGTATTTATAAAGTAAAATATGTATGTTTAAAAAAAATTAAAATTATTCATTAATGGTATTAAGTTTTGATTAGGAGGTCTATTGGTAGCGTTTAATTTTGTGAATTAAGAATATAAATTACTATCCTCGAGTATGAATCAAAATGCAGATGCGCTCTCACCCGAGAGGACTAACATGGAATGTCTCGTTTCCAG